GCACAGGTGGATGATGTACTGATCATTCCCTGACCAGGCCTCTGTGTTCAAATGTGTTTTCATGTAACTACTGTAGTGTGTGTTGGCACTTGAATTTATGGGCTTCTGTCTTCATTGGAGAACCTGGATGGAATCCCACTCACCCTTCCTGTTGAATAAATAAAGATAAGGAATGGGTGGTGAAAGTCAGGCTTCATATACTGTCCCTAAATGCCTGTTTAGTGCAGGAGCTCCCTCTCTCTCCTGTATTTTGGTCCCAATTCAGCCTGAAGAAATTGATTTTCTAGGAATGAGCAAACTTTGAGAAACATTATCTGGAGAAGCAGGCCTTATTAGGACTTCAGACACAAAATGGGGATGCACCTGTTGGATTAATGCTAACACACAATGCTATTTTTTAAACATATATATGTGTGTGTGTGTCACAACAAGTGACACACACTTTGCAAGCAAGTTACGTGCCCCAGGATGCAGGTACAAATGAAGAAGTATCACTATTTCAGATCAAGGCTTTGTTGGGTCAGACTGCGGCTTCAGGACTGCATTATCATCTACCGTCTGTGATTCTTTGCCTCTTCAGTCATGACAATGGCTACACCAAAATCAGTGATAGTCTCAAATAATTCTCCTTTCAATCACTTTCTTTAAGCACAGAAGAAGACATCCTTTTGCTTACTCTGACTCTAAATCCCTTTATTGGCTTCTTTATTGGGAGATTGGCAAAGGAGTAATTTTCTGGTCTTCATAGTCCTTTTACTCATATAGTTTATAAATCAAAACACATGCTGGTCTCAGGACATACAGGGTAACCGTGGGATGTGAGTGCATCCCTGCTGAGAAGCCAAGGGATTCTAAAGGCTTTAGATCCTCAGGTCCCACTGAGATTTATCTGGGACATGGGACAACTTCTAGATGCCTCTAAAGTGCCTGACTTAATGCTTTTAGCGCAGGGGAAATCTTGCCCGGCTTCTCACAAATTACCAATGTTTTCAGAAGCCTCTTGCTTTTCAGGGGGATATTTTGAAATTATCGCATGGCTTTGATGTTTTGTTTTTTGTTTGTTTGTTTGTTTTTTGTTTGTTTGTTTGTTTGTTTGTTTGTTTGTTTTTTGTTTGTTTGTTTTTTGTTGTTTGTTTGGTTTTTTTTTCCAGCCAGATCTGGCAAGGCTGAGAGCAATAGCTGCCTGAATTCTGAATTTGACTGAAACGCAGTTTCCTAGATTGCCCAGGTGGTGGCGGATTTGGAAAATACTAAATCAGTCTTTCAACTTGTTTTGCGATGGAACTGAATTGTTTCCTACGTGGGTTAAAAATGCCCTCTTCTGATATTGTTACTCTTTCATACCTCTGAAGCCTTTTAAATGGCTTCCATTTAAAATGGAAAATCTCTGTTTTCAAGTATAATTAGTCCTTAATACAAGTGTTATTTGCTGCTATTTTTCTTGTTAAATTTCTGCTAAATCAAAGTTTAATGACTAGATTTGGGGGGGAAGATCTTTTTATTAATTTGTCTACTTATTTAAACTAATTAACTACTATTGATTTACAGCGTGTGTGTGTGGAATTGATTCCTGTGTCAGTTGTACCATGCAGAAAACCCACAGATTGTCTCAAACTTTCTGGTGGGTCAGGACTTGCTCCTAGAAGGAAGAATCTGTCCATTGGGGCTGGGAATGCTCCCTGAGGCTTTTAAATGAGAATGTCCCATGTAGCCACATAATCTCCCAGCCTCACTTCTCGTTTCTTGATGGCAGAACTTCCATCTTTCTGTGTTTTCACCCTTCCTGATACTGAAGGTTATTCGTGCCTGTAATGTTCTGGTATCCTTTATTTATTAGTATTTCTATAGATTTTAGGGGGGTATCAGCAAATTAAGCGGCAAAGGCCTTTGGGGGCGTTGGGTGGGCAGAGAGGATGACTCTGATAGTTTAACTTCTTGCTTAATATGTGCCAAGGAACTTCTTTGTATTAGTTCTTTCTTCAAACCTAACAGCTAATCTGCTACTGCTGTAGTAATCGTCTGAGTGACAAACACGGGGTGAATATTTTGAGTATCCTTGTTTTTATGCAGTGTTCCCCTAGTTTATGCTTCTGTGTGTTGTGTTACCCATTTCACCCCAGCATCAACACTGGAGCTTATGTTCTGCCAAGGCTCACCATGGCTTTTGAAGTCTTTTTTCTGAGTCTGTGCTTCCCATGATAGATTCTCCTATCCTGTGGGATTTGATGTTTACAATCACCAAAACCCAAATCCTTTGCATTTGAGAAATTCACTTCATTATTCTTCCTTGAAAAACAAGAAAGTCCACAAAACCAAGGAGCCTGCCAAACTCCAAAACGCAGCTACAGTATACTACTAAAATGCATGGGGTAAAAATAAATGTGATGAATCATACTTTAATCCTAAACTCCTTTGATGCTTTTGCAATTATTCATACATTACAATTTTTCAAGTGATTTTCAGTAGTGTTCTTTGCATCCCAATTTATTCGAATAGCCATACTGTGTATAGCCATGCTTTGTGTAATCTCTTAGCTTCCTTTGGGAATGTGGTAAGCCTTTTTTGTCCTGGGTGATTTTGGAAAACTTAAATTTAGGCCATATTCAATTACAAAATGGTGAAAACATGCAATAAGTCATGATAGAGCTTATTACATATGAAAGTGCCTTCCATTTGAGGGAATTGCATTAATGCTACTCTAGACTTCAAGTTGTTTGTGGAAGGAAACCCCATTTCAGTTTGTATTTGTACAATACCAAAGTACAGTCATGTCTAGGTCCAGTGCAGGGTCACCAAGAAGCTATTGTAATATAAATATAGTACAATAGTAGATCTCCACCTGCTGGGGTTTTTTGTACATTACAGCTAAAATTAGACAACCACTGAATTTTAGACGGAAAAATTATTTTGGCCATAAATTCTGCTTCTTCATTTAAGGAAAGAAAGGACTGTACATAATACTCAAGCTGATAAATTTTTTTATCCTCTGGTGACCTGCTAGATGCCACTGAGATCCTGGGCACCTGCATATTCCAAACAGCTCTGCACTGCTGAGATGGAAAAGCAACCAGTTCGACTGTTCATCGGGAAGATAAATGAGTTGCAACACAGTTTTGTCTCTGTTCTCTGTTTAAGCTCTGTGTAAGCAAATACATGAGTCTTTCACTTGCCTTTGTTTTATGTGGGTGGAAATAGAACAGTTTGTAGGTTACAGCAGAAGACTGTGGTGTTTGTACTTGGAGGATTATTATAGCTATAATTATTTTCAGGTCACTCTTGGATCAGTTCTCTGACAGGTTAGTTGTCTTCTCTACTTACACACTGGCTACTTTATTTCTCCCCTAGTAGGTGTTTGCCTTTCAGAAAGAAAGGAGGAACTGTAAGGGAACAAAAGGCTCCTCCGGAGGAGGAAAGTAGGATTGTCAGCAAGATTTAGTCTTCCTCTGAACCTCTACCTTGAGGGCACCTCCTGGGAGAATTCCTTAATGTTTTCACTGAAGACAGGAGAGTAAGGGATGTGGTAGGAAGGGAGTGACATTTAACTGTTGTGGCCTTTGCAAGCAAATACAATACTGTTTTATGTTTTAACTTAATTTTTTGGAGTTATGTAATTATATTTGACTCTCAGGTATCATTACAAAGAGTTTTTACAGCAAGTATTTCTTTTTCTAAAAACTCTTTTAACAAAACTAAAATACTTTTTTGGAATATATCGGCATTGACAGACTTCAACCATCTTTTGAAAAGGAATAGTAGCCATTGAAAGAAAATAATATTCTGTTATAACATGCATGTGGAGAATATTTTGTTTCCACATCTGAATGGAAAGATGCAGCCCACCTCCTTCACTGAGCTGTTGATCTGTGTGCACACTGTATTGAAATGAAGGTCAGTGAAAAAGAATTGCGGGTGTTACTGAATAAAACGGGGAAGCAGGATTATGGGGCAATTTCAGCTGTGGAAAAGGCCAGCTCGTGGAAAAACCGCGGATGAAGCTCAGTACCCTGAGAACCCAGGAGAGGAAGGAGCAGGCCCAGAGCCGCTTCTCCCGCCCTTCTCCGCTGCCAGCCCGCAGCAGTACGTTTGCAGCCTGTGCAAGCCCGCGAACCACCAGGCATCCAGGCGTGTTTTGGAGGAAGCTGTGTGCTGTCGGGGGAGGTGGGACGAGTTCTCCGAGGTTGCCGGAGGGGTGCGGGGCACAGCCCCCAGTGCCGGGCGGTGATGCCTTCCAGCACGCTTCCTCAGCCGTGGCTCCTGCCTGCCGGCAAGGCAGCCCCGGGGGCCCCGAGGAGAGGAGCCGATGGGTGCTCAGTTCCTGAGGCTCCATGTGAAAGGGTGAACCACCACATCCACCTGTCTGTCTGCCGTTTCTGAGCGCTCAGGTTCCAGGGCCCTCTCTTTGCCGCGGTAGGTGCTGCGGGGTGTTCTCCGCTGCGACAGGGCAGGTCTCCCTCTTTGCCTTCCTTGCTTTCTCACCCCGCCAAGCTGCACCCCACCAGGCACCAAAGCCCGGGGAGAAAAGCCGGCACTTCTACCGGGGCAACACCGCCCATCCTCAAAGGGGGTGCAGAGCCTTGCTCACACCCCGTGCCGCGCAGGTGGCGAGTCCAACAGCCGCCGCTCACAGAACCACCGAGGTGCAGGGCTGGACGAACCCCACGGCCGGGAGTGCGAGGTTACGGACCCCCGGTGCCATCAGAGAGCACTCGCCTTTCACCCTGCGGCAGTCGAGGAAAAGCGCCCACCGTATTCTGGAGGGGGTGTGGATACCGAAGGACAAACCCGAGGGGCGCCCGGGGCCGGGGCGGCTGCCCCTCGGCGCCGAGTGCCGCGGCCGTTAACCCCGCCCGCGGGGACCGCGGCTCCCGGGGCGTCTCGGTAGAGGCAGCGTGGGGGACCGGCAGCCCCGTCCGGGCGGCGAGCGCCGGGGGAGGCGGCCCCGAGGCTGCCGGGGCCGGGGCACGGCCCTGCCGGCCTGCGCCCCCGCCGCCCCCGGCCTGTCGGCCCCACGCAGGAGCGGCGGGGTGGGGCGCACCGCTGCCCCGCTGCCAGCCGCTGCCTTCCCCGCGCCGGGGAGAGCCGGCGGCAGGCCCGGGGAGGAGCGAAGCCCGATCCCCCGGCGAAGCAGCCGGGAGGGAAGGTACGGGCCCGGCGGGGCAGCTGGCGGGAGGGGGGCCGGCCTCCCCCGGCGGCCCAAAAGCAGGCCTGGGGGAGGCTGAGGTGCTGCTCAGGGGCTTTCGGAGAGGGGTGGAGCGGCTCTGGAGGGACGGGGGGAGCTGCGAGCTGGCGGGGCTGTATTAAAGGTTGGGAAGAAGCACGAGGTGCTGAGGCGAGAGTGGGGACTCCGTGCCGGGAGCCAGTGCAGCCCTCAGGCAGCGCTCGTTGGCGTTACAAGGGAGATTAAGGTTAGATTACGCTGCTTTTTAATCATACTGGCGTTTTGACTAAACTCTCCAGCTTGCAAGCCACCAAACTTCAGGCCTTTCTGGCAGACTCCCCTCTCTGTTTAAGGGTGGGGGTCAATTGCGTGTGCAGGTTTGCCCCTTTGGGGCAGCCAGTAGGTACTGTCAAGATGTGCCGCACCTGTGTCTGCCCCCTTCCCCTTCTCCCATCTGTGTGGGAATGGTTTTACGCTCCAGGTCTCCTCTTCTTTCCTCTTCTAGATGGAGCCGGTAATAGAGTCTGTATTCTTTCTTCTCCAGGAGCCCGGGAAGACTGATGTTACGGAATATACAGGTGAGATGTAAACTCCGCTAGTTAAACCCCAGAGGGAAGCTTGAGGCTCCACCGAGTGGGTCTGGAGACACTGTGTTCCTTCTGCTCCTCTGACTGCTCTGCCCTGGGTTGCTGGGGTGGTACGGCACACTAGGCTGGGGCAAGGTGCTCAGTGGTATTTTGCATTTCTTTCTGCTGTGGGTTTCTAGTAGCTGCTTTAAAATAAGACAGTATGGTTCGTTTGGAGTGAAGGAAAGCTGGCACAGTTCTGGTTTTCAGGCTTTTTCATGGGTGAGGAAGATCTGAGAGAGTTGCACAGCTGTACCTGCAGTGCGTGACTCTCTAGCACTATCAGTGGATGGGAATGGAGGGTGGTTTGGTTCCCATTTCACTGTTAGAGACCTGGGGCCTCTCCGTGGGCTTCTAGGAATAATCAGCTGCTTGGTTGTGGAGCGAGGGAATGACTGCTCCTGTGAGAGGGAGTCTTCTTCATCCCTCTGGAAGAAAGCTACACCTCGGGTGTAATTCTTTGATGTGAGAGATGAATCCCCCCTCCCTTAGTAAGTAGGGGTTTTTTAATTTCTTTTATCACTGGTATTTAGATCTTGGCTTCTGTAGCCATGTAAATAGAGAGCATTTTGTCCCTTTAAGAGCATGTTATTTAAGAATTTTATTCCTTGGTGTCATAGAGGTGCAGAGTTTTACCTTGAATGTAGAAAGCCTATTTTTTTCTGTTAGTGGAATAACCAAACTCGATGTGTTAAATGCGAGTATATGTAGTGTGAGTAACTGAATATTTGAATGCTAGATCAGAAATGCTAATGGCTAAGTCCTCTATTTGAATCAATGTAAGCATCTTAAGATGCTTGCAGAAATCAAGATGGGGTAAGTGTGCATCAGGTGATACATATAATTCTGTTAATGTGAATATAAAATTTAGTCAGTAAAGTAAGGTAACCAAAGTTTACTGTGGGGTGCATGATCATTAGTACTCATTTGTGAAATGGTCGTGTTCTTTAGGAAAGAAGGGGCCATGTTTGAATGTTTCCTGTGAGCTTGTGTAATGCAATTTATTTAGCTTGTCACTACAAGAAAAGTAGATGTCATGCTAGTAGATATGAAAGGGATAGTAATAGTTAATTGGAAATTAGTTCATTTTTTTAATCAATAAAGATTTAACTCCTTTTGACTTCTCATGCATGAATATACAGTATCCTTATAATAATTACAACTGTTCTTGTGATAATTAGGGAAAGAACCTGATGTGCTGACCCGTAAAAGAAGAAATTTAAAATTTTTCAGTAAATATCTAACACAAGTGAGAAACAACGTAAACCTCCCTGTTGATTTTGCCTAATGAAGGTTAAGGGTACTTTTTTTGGTGTTAAACCATCCCCACCCAAACAGCTTTAAAACTAATACTAATTTAGCAGGCTTGAAGGCTTTTGAGCAAAGTCTGCTGGAAGAAATAGCTAACAGTAGGTATTTGTGATGGGTAGGATGTGTCAGCACGTTGTTCCTTTTCCTTCCTTCATTTTGGCAGTCTTCCTTTGTCGTTCCCTGCGGGGAGAAAGAGCAAGGAAAGGGGGAGGGGAAGGAAGAGGTAGGTTTCTTTACCTCTCTTCTTCCCTGTGCCGCTTTTTTTTTTTTTTTTTTTTTTTCCCCCCCCTTGTCCTCTTATCTCAATCTTTGTAATTTCCATTCCTCTTTGGAAAAGGGGAATCTGGTGCAAGTTGATGATAGGCCTGAGAAATTCAGCTGCTTTACAAGGAGCATCTTACCTGTCTTAGGGAAGGAGTGTCAGCTTGCTCTCTTACTCCATCAGGGTGCTGCATTTTGAGTGACAATGAGGAAGAGGGAGTCATCCCCGAAGGCCTTAAGCAAGATGTACTGCCTCAGGTACCTGAAGCCCACAGCCCAGACAGCGGGGCAGCCAGTCTGCAAAGGCAGCAAAGGGCAGCCTGTAATAATCCCCCTCACCAAAAAGGAAGTTCCAGAAAACTCGCCTACATCGCTGATGGCCAGAAACTGCACACAGAAGAGAAAACCTACAAGTGTACAGAATGTGGGAAGGGCTTTAAGGGGCGCTCCAGGCTTCTGAAGCACCTGCAAACCCACACAAGAGAAAAAATGTTTGAGTGTGTTGAATGTGGGAAGAGCTTTAGCAGGAAGGCCAATCTGGTGGTACACCAGAGAATCCATACAGGGGAGAGGCCCTACAAGTGCAAGGAATGTGAGAAAACCTTTAGCCGTACCTCAAACCTTATCGCTCACCGCAAAACCCACGCGAAAAAGAAAGCCTTTTCCTGCACCACATGCAGGAAAAGCTTCAGTGGGAGTGCAGCTCTTTTCAGGCACCAGAAAGTCCATATGGATGAGAAGCCCTATAGGTGTACTGAGTGTGGAAATAGCTTCCGTCTGTGCTCAAACTTCATTAAACATCAACAGATTCATTTGAGAGAGGCATCCAGTGAACACACAGCAGGTAACTGAATTAAAATCTGTTGGGTTTTATTTCAAGCTGTACAGACTCTCAGGAGATGTATCAGATACTGTGGTCTCCATTTGTTCCTGAACACTTCCCCCTCCTTGCTGTGAATATGAGTGGGCTTTTTCTGTTAGCATGGTTTTTCCCCTTCCTATATAATATGTTTATCCCTGTCATTTGAAGAAGTGCCTTGAAAATGCTAAAGTTGAAATTTAGACTTTGACATGAAGGCTGCTTGGGACCTTAGAACTCTGCAGAGCTCTCAGATCCCACTAATTCCTGCGTTATAGTGTTACCTGATCTCTAGCCCTAGATCTTCAGAAGTGCTTAGCGACAAAATACTAAGTTTAGGGGAAGTGGAAGGGATTTAAACTGTGAATCAGAGCCTTGGTAAAATCTAGCAGCTAATTTTTGTTACATGTGGATATTAAAGGAGCATTGTCATTGTCTGCAGTGGGAGGTCTCTGCTGGCCAACCCTCTGCAATACTTCAGCATTACATAGGCTGTCACACAAACTGATGGTTTAAAGTAGGGAGTTTTTTTAATTTTGCAATATTCCATGTACCTGTAATGACCAGAAACTCTGGGGTAAAAACTGTCATTGTGGTTTTTTTTTCCTGTTGTTGTACCTTTACATGGGCAGTCCCTTTATACTCGGTCAAAAAAGTTTTAATTTTTAGTTTTGGGTCTTGCCTAGCAACCCATAGAATTGTTCTGGGTGTTGGGGTCTTGGCCACCAGATCATGTACCAAGGCAATTAAGACATGACACCATATGAGAAGGTGTTTTGTGTGCAAGGTTTTTCTGGCATTTTAATTTGTTTTATTTTGTTTTTTTCTCCTGAAAAAAAAAATTGAGCAGGAGAGCCATTCATCTTAAAAATGAGAATAATAATGAAGTTATAATAATAATGAAGTTGTTATGAAATGGCAACACTGAATTCCTAAGGTAGGGTTTGAGACTACTCAGTCCATAGATACAGAGGGGTGGCCTAGAAACTCTGCTAATGAGCCCTAAAGATGGAACTTTGCACTCCTAATGCATTTTTTTTTTTCTTGAGGGCTTCTAATAGTTTTTTTAGATGTAAGAGTTTATCATTCATAAGGAAAAAAAAAATCTACTTTTTATTCTGGTGGTTGGCCTATAATTAGTGTCAGATCTGCCTAATACTACACCTGCTTCAGAAGAAAGTGTGTGAACTTACTCTGGAGTAACTATTTGCTGCTGCATCGTTGTGATTGAAGCTCCATAATAAAATTGCTTTTATGGTCAAATATATGCCACATTGGCCTTGCAATGTGTGGATTAGGAATGAAACTCGATTTCTGTATCTGATGTGATCTCCAAGAGGTTTACATACTTATAACTTAAGTACATTTTTAGTAAATCTCAGCTGTCCTATTCCTGAACAGCTCCCTTGCTCCAGCTTTGCTTCTCCTGCCACCCCCCCAACACCCCCCTTCCCCCCATTTCTCCCCCCCTCCCCCCCACAAAAAAAAAGAGGTATGGGGGAAGCAAGAGGAAGGTATTTTGGCTGTGATTAAACCCAAGTCTGTAATGTTTCAGAGGGCTATATCTGCCTAGCCTTTGTTCTGGTTTGGCTTAGTTTGGGCCAACATGTGACTTGAATGAAGTTTTAAGTATAAAATGTGGGTGAGAGGAAGGGTTGTTGCTGATTTGCCTTTTCCTTGTGTGACAGCATATTTAAAATACGGACAATTGGTGATAAAGTGGGCTCTTGACTTACACCGTCTTTCTTTTAGATGCAAACGGCTCCGAATTTACCTCTCTGCATCATAAAGAGCAAAGGTGTGATGCAGAGAAATGTGAGATGGATCACTTGAATCTTGTTCATGAAGAGTGTAAGTATAAAAAGGCTTCTAAATTGCCAGGTGAAGTATTTTTACATTGTAAGCATTAACATTCTCTTCTCTTCGTGCAGTGAAGAAAATGAGGGAAAATATGGATATGCTGCTTCTGAATCAGCAAAGTCAGCTGCAGGTCCTGCAAGAAATTCAGAAACAACTGAATATACTCCTCCCAGGCAATGATCTCATTAATTCAAATGTTTATAGTTTAGGACTTCTGCTAGGACGGCAGGCAGCTGCAGCGGCGTCTCTTTCTTTTCCCCTTCTTAATCCCAGCAGTCTCCTCCCTGAAAATATGAGCCTCTTGGCCCGGTCATCTGCCTCTGGAGTTCAGCCTACCACTCGGCTCCCAACCTCTCAATATCCTGCGTCTTCCACAACTTGATCAGCACTGTGCTGTGAACCTATCCAATGTAAACAAAATGTGACTACTGTTTGGTACTGTTTTCTCACTCCAACATGTGATCTCTGTGTTGTAATGTTGAAACTGTAGACCTGTGAAGATGCTGACTCAGACTTGGAAAGATGCATGCCTCAGATGCACCATCAAGCAGCAGTTGATCAAATCCACTGCCCATTCATTTGTTGCAGCATGCAGACATTTTGGCCAGGAATGTATTTTGTCAAGGTAGCTCAAGAGATCTTTATCGCTGGGGTGTAGTGAAGTGCAACATCCATATGTAAGATTAGGCATAAGATTTAAGCATATTTTTATACCTGATATACATTTAATATGTACTTGGGCAACTGGACCTCTCCTAATGAGCTGAAGCTAATGATAGAATCATCAGGGATAGTTTAAGCAACTCCTGTTAAGTCTGATTTGTGTAGAGGTAAGCAACATGCTTATGTAAAGGTTAACTGGACCTCTATTCCCAGCATTCATTTGCAAAAGCTTCCTTCATTCAGGAAGCCTTTAAATTATGTGACTTTAGCCGATTCTTAGGCCAGCGTCACTACTAAAACTAAAAAAAAAATGTTTTCTGTTTTTTAAAACAAACAACTCATTTCCCTAGTCACCCTTCTCCCCCCCCCCCCCCCCCCCCCCCCCCAATACCACCATTCAGGTCTGCCTTGCTTACCAAGAGTTACTAAGAGTTTGTGAGGTAAAGCTGATCTGGTTTATAAGACACTTGGGTTTTTGTTCAAAGATGAACTCACTTAAGTCTGGTTTTAGGTGTCCTGTTATATCCTATTTGAATTAGATGTTGTTGACTGTTATGTATTACTTCATTGGGGGATAGGACTGGGGTAAATAATTACTGTTTGGGGAGGAATACTGAGAAGCTCCGGTACACCATCTTGTGAAGTCTGGGGAGGAGGGGGAAAAGAGTAATGTGTTTGTTTTTTGTTTGTTTGGTTTTTTGTTTGTTTGTTTGTTTGTTTTTCCCCTGTTCCCATAGGACTTTGACATGGGGCCTTTTGAGGCTGGTAATTGCAGTTTTAAGAAGTGTTAGTCCCATCTACCTCCTTGTTTTTGTCAGCGACACAGACTGGTAGCAGTGTCAGAACCTTTGAGTTTCAAAAGTACAAAAAAGCCAACTATGATTTACGTTTGAAGAGGTGCTGGGATAAAGAAACTTTGGGGCTTGTGCCTATGCCAGAAGTCTTTCTCTTGAACTGATGTTGTGTTTGTGGGTTGTTTGGTTTTGTGAGGTTTGATGATGTTTTGTTAAAAGGATTAGCTGTTAGTAATTAATAAAATATGACCTAGGTTTTAAGAATGGGAAACACTACTTCTCTTAACAAGTTGTCTTGTTGGTGACAGTGCAATGACGTCAGATTCTGGTCCAAAGAAAATCCTCTGTGGGATCAGGTATGACTCTGTGTGTGTGAACACAGACTGTGAAAATCACACACTGGTTCTTACTATGTAGGATTTTGTATTAGCGTTAACTCAGTAGGATATTAATTTAAGCCAAATTGGGAGACCTTAAAGGCTATTCCTTCAATGCGAACTTGTACTGAAATGTCTGGGGTTTGTTTTCCGTGAGCTGAGCATACCACAGTCATGTGGCTCTAGGCTTAAGATCTCCGAGAAGAGTTGCTAACATTCTGAAGAATCTTTGGGGTACTGTTCATAATTTCTTGGATGCTTAATTTCATTTTGCTTAGAAGCAGAACCTCCTCTTCAAAGCAATGGTTAAAGTTTGTATTTTACTGTTTTTTTTTAAAGATGTTCAATATTAAAATGCTGCATTTTTGTTAGAAACTAATCTTTGAGCTTCTGTCCTTTATAAAAGAGCACCAGTGCTTAGACTTTGATACCTGAACGGAAGTTCAGTTACTGCAATGCTTGTGCTTTCCCTAGCTCCTTCTGCTTTTCTCTCTCATCTTCTCCTTCCCAGCATTTAGGCATCTCCTTACTTTTCTGTCTTTGGAAACTCCCAAAAAAGAAAACATAGCTGTCTGCCACTTCTGCAACTTAGAGCAGGTAGGAGGAATCTCTTATTTGAGGGCTTAGGCAGGATTTTTGCCTGTCCTGAGGGAGTTTGTATATGATATTTCTGTTCGTAGCTGGCAAGCTTCAGAGCAGTCTATGGCAAACCTCAGGTGAGCTACATCCTTTTGTGTTGGTGTTCTCTGAAGTATTTGTTGGGTCCCATCTGAATTTGAGGATAAAGTCCTGAAAGACCTTTCAACTACAGGTGTACTGGAGACTGGAGGAAGTATTGATACAGGGAAGCACAAGAAACCACAATACTTGCTATTTTTTGGGTTACCTCCCTCCTCCTATGTAAGTGAGAGTGTAAACCAGAAGTCTTTCTCCTCCTAGCCTCCCAAGCACTGAAATGGTCCTGAAAAGCATCTCTGATGCTAAAAATATGGGGTGGGCTTTCGGGGGCTTCTTGCCCGTGTTGGAAGATACCTAGAATGCTTCCTGCCTCATTTTCTTCCTTTCAGTACTCTGGCAGTATCTGATAGCTTGCCAGGGTTACTGGAGAGCTTTGCAGTGTCCAGGAATCTCTAAGGGGATGCACAGATGCTCTCCCGGTGAGCTTCCGTGGTCTGTGCAGGTGTATTTGGTGTTGGGGACTGGACAGTGTGTAGACAAGTGACAGGTAATCTGGAGATGATGTGAGCTTTTCTGACAAGTGTCAAGTCCTAGGATTGGAGGTTTAGTATCTTAAATCATGTCCGTCTGCTCTAAGGCATGTTAAAAAAAAAAATAAAAAATCAAGTATGTACACAAGGAAAGGGCTGGAATTCATTCTGTGCTCAAAATGTTGGAGTTCTGCAGGCAGGAAAATACAGTCCTTTTTATAGTCTGCTTTCTGAAGGCAAAGTCTGTTAAAACATCCTGGTTTTAGCCATGTGAAGGTAGTGGGAGACTGAGATCATGTTTATTTTATTTCCATTCCATTTTAAGTTACAGTAGCTCAGGAGCTTGGCACCAGTGAGAAATGTATTTGTAAATACAAGTGCTCTCACTGCTTTAGCGCTCTTCTGACAAACTGTAAATAGTTTTCTCAAGGCCTATTAAAGGTGGGGATTTGATATTTTCTTCCACCTCTATCTTCTGTAATTAACTTGTGTGACTGCTCAGATCTTACTGCTTCAGTCCTGCAATTATTTTTTTTTTCATTTTCCCTTAAGGTTTTGGATTTTTTGTAAAAAATATCTGGTAGGTGCACAACTTCAAGCAACAACTCAGTGCAAAGCAAAATTCAGTGTCTAGAAGGGTACAGTGCTGTTTCCAGTAAAGCAGAGCTGCCACAGGCGGTGTGAACTCGGTTGTCAGTGCAGTGGAGAGCAGTACCTAGCTGACCTAAACCTGTGTCTGGCCCTGTTTTGTGCAGGAAGGTATAAAATAGGTAGAGGAGGTGACAAGAACGAGAGGCTGTGGGTAGGGCTGTAGCATATGCAGAGAGATAAGGACTGGAAAAGTACCAAATACTGATACTTTAATAAAAACCCAGCTAACTATGGGAAACGATGTCTTTCTATTCATCTGGTTATCTGGCAGCTTTTTTCACTGTGGGACAGCTCAAGAACAATCTCTGCTCTCTGATGCTTATTCTGGACTATTTGGGGACTATTGTTGGCCTTTTCTTTAGTAAATCCCATTTGAAGAATACCAGTAACATATTAATCCTTCAATCCCATTATCAGTTTCCCTATTAGCTATTGGACTTGCCACACCTCCTGCAATTTTAGCATGTTGTCCTCCTCCAGATACTTAGAAATTGCAGTCTCGGGTGAGTAGAGGTAACAGCAAGATCCTCAAACATGCTGGATTCTCTCTGGATGCAGAGTTACCTAACAAGGGAAAAAAATAGTAGGTTTAGCCCCAGTGATAGCAGTTTTCTGTGATAAATATAAGGAATTTACTCCACAACTTATTAACAGCACTCTCACTGATCTAATTCCTATAACTGGTTATTAAGAGTCATGGATAACTTTCACCAGCACTACACAATCCATTGGTAACTTATCTGGAAATGAGAAATAATGTTAACACTAACCTCACATTATTTAATGTCTACATTTTATTTGCATTATTCAGACTTGATATTTTTCACCATACTTCATATCACGCTCACTGATGGTTTTCTGATGAAAGCAACGTTTTTGACAGGTGACTTTTAGATTTTTGCATCATCTGAAGAAGACAGCTTTTTTAGTTCATGTGAACTATACTCAAAGAAAGATGTGCTAAAGTAGGAACCGGATAATGTTGAGGGCCTTCTTCAGTCTTGTTTTCTTTTAAGATTCCTCAAGAACTTCAACACCTTTGTCTCCATCAGCATCTGTCTTTAGGGGGGTAGGGGTTCTTAAAGAGGTTTTACCGCTGTGCTTAAGGTGTTTTCTTTTTTTTTTCTTGAGCTACCAGACTTGATTTCACCTTTATGAGGGGGATGCAGGATATGAATAAAACCCCCAATAAATTGGGCAGAATCTTATCAGCATTAAACTATTGTAAGAGGAAGATGATGCCTGTCTTATTATGGAACTTGTTCTTTATACATATTTTAGCTGGGTGTTAAGGTGTTTTACTGCTGTTCCTAATACATCAAAACTAGCAACTGATTTTCTCCCCTCTTCTAAACTCAACAATTACTTGATAAAAATAGTAGCTCTTGTTTTGAGGAGAAAGCCATTCTCTACGGGTTTGTAAAAAATCATGACAAAAGAAGCAAATCTGGGAAAGCATGCATATTCCCTGTGTGCACAAAGCAAAGACAAGACGTGAGGGAAGAAACAGGAGAAGGCGGCACAGGAAGAGCAGCCTCAAGAAGCCTCAGCTGTATCGGGAGAAACAGAAGAGAGGCTGTATTTGCATCCAGGCAGCTGAAGAAGGGAAGTTTAATGGCCGTAAAACACTTGGGGTCCTACCAGTCATCCCACAGTTGACTTGCCGCTCGTGTCCTTGCCCCGGGGCATCGCAGCCCACAGGTACCTCTTCCGATGTTGGCGCTGGCTTGGAAACGTGCTTCAGCGGGCAGAGCTCTTGGTTATGGGAACATGAACAGCTGAGAGCAGAAATCCCCTGTGTGGGTGCTGAGCTCGGTGGTTTAACCCTGTCTCAGCCTGGGTATTAAAAAGCATGCAGAAAGCACTTCTGGTGAAGAACAAGTAATCCCAGTTTTCAGCATTTGTTACAACGTGAAAATCACATCCTTTGTTCCTCTGGACTGTACAGGAAATCCTGATGATCTAACTTGTGAGGGCTTTAGGTACGAAGCATGCAGAGCTGAGAGTTACTTCAAAAAAATAAAATAGGTGTTCTAGTAGGCTGTTGGCAGGATTTTATGCATATAGGTAGTGCGGATGAGTCTGATTTTGTTTTCCTGCTGACTTTGTTTCTGTACTTCGAGACTTACTGCTCTCTGAATAGAGTTCTGGGGCAGGTGAAGAATTACTATTTGTAAATACCAATATAGCGAAGACATCTTGTTTGTCTGCTTTTTTCTCCAGGCGTGTAGACCTTGTTAAAAATGCTCTGTAGTTCCTCTTTCAATAA